ATATATCTCTCCCCCATTTTTGACGAAGCAGAGAACCAATCAAGAAATAAAAAGAACAAATATTTTCCAGAGCAAAAACTTCTCAATTTGAAGGTTTTTTTCTTTTTTGTTCTTCATCCTTCATTCGAAATCCATCAAACAATAGAGCAATAGGAGGTATTTGAGTCATTTTTACCTTTTTTTAGCATCCATTTGAAACAAAATAGAGTAAGAAAGAAGGGTTTTGAGTTTACCTCAATCTCCAGAGTTGACATCGGGGGGAGATTTTTTGGAGAGAGCAACCAGAAAAAGGGAGAGGGCAGCCTGAGAATAGAAAAACTAGAGCAAAGAAAAAATTCACACAGCCATCATAAGCCATTCTCAACAGATTGGAATAAAAATACAGAGGAAAAAAAGGGAGAGCCTTTAGAAGCTTCTAGAAAGCAAACCATTTCCAGAGAGATAAATAAAAAAAGACCACAAAACCTTACCTTTCTTCTTCATCAGTGAGTTTCGTTTCTTCATCGGAGCAGCAAAATACCGTAGCCATCGAAGGTAACCCATGCTTCTTAGATGTAAGTTTGGGGTCGATTTTGAATTATGGTTTGAGGGATTATTTTTACAAGGTTTTAGGGCTTAAGGTGTCCGTTTTTGGTTTGGTTTAGAAGGGTTGTTCGTGAGAAGGTGATTTGGGGACCATTTGGTCGTCATCGACGTTGGTACATAGTGAACGGGTTTTTTTTGCTCGTGTTCTTTCCCTAAGATGAAAAGAGAGAAAGAAGGGTTGAAAGCAGAATTGAGGAGATGTGTTTGAGAGTAAAAACTGCGCTGAGGGTTTCGGTTTAGCTTAGGGATGGCAAAATGACCCAAACCTGACGGGGAAACCTGAAACCCAATTAAGTTCAGGTCGGGTCGGGTCGGGTCGAGTATCAGAGATTTTTTCGGGTCGAGTTCAGGGCAAGGTATCCCCGCCCTGCCCCGATTATATATATATATAAATATAATATTTTATATTTTTTATATTAATTATATATTGTTCGGGTTTGAGTATAATATTTTGGGTCGGGTTCGGGGATGAGGTAAAAAAAATTCCTGACAGGGCGCCCCGATAAAAAACCCGACGGGGATCGAGTCGGGTTCGGTGATGGGGATTCATTTTGGGTTAGGGACTGGACGAGCAAAACCTACCCCGAACCTACCCCGTTGCCATTCCTAGTTTAACTAAGTGATGTTTCCTCTGTGCTTAGGTCAAATTTAGCTTAGGTGAAGCTTTAAGAGAGTTGAATAAAGTGGTGTCGTTTAGTCGGTGTCCGGGGTAGTTCATTTTCGTGCGAATGGGTTTATTGTTGAGGGAGCCACGCCTGTTTAAGATTTAATTCCTTTTAGTCCTCAAATCGAGGCTTTCCTAATTTCTAATTTTGACTCGGTGTTTTACATGCTTTATATTTTAGTCCTCAAATCAAGATATTCTTATACGGTTGCTATGACAATACCTCTCGACATTAACTATAGACGTAGTCTTTCCTACTCCAGCATCTATCCCTTTTAGTCGTTTGAAACTCACTCTTTATATCTAAGGCAGACAAGTTAGAAATTCACCATCCCGAATTCATTCCATTGCTCACGTTCGTCTATCTTAATTCTCTCAAATTTAAGAATCACTTATCTAGACATAAGGCTATCTCTCGATGCTCTTACAATGCCAAGACATGTTTTACCAAAACCCAAGGCTATCTCTCGATGCTCTTACAGTGCTAAGGTAAAATATTTAAATTATGAACAAAACAGTCTCGAAACATACTTCATCATTCATAAACATAAAAATATTGTTCAGGCAAAACAAAGTTTAACACCAAGTAAAGCATTCATGGTGTTATCAAAGATCATCCAAGATTCAACGTTTAATACAAACCCAAATAGATAAAGAGTTAAAAACAAAGGAAGAACGACTCCCAAAACCAGGGGGTCTGTCGCGAAAATACCGATCAACACCACGCCTGCCTTGGTGATCACCCTCTCTCGAGGCCTGATCAGCACTCTACTATCGTCTGGTTATGGAGGACACCAAGGAAGGTTGGTGGGTAGATGATGGGAAAGCACTGCAGTTGCTTCCTCACGCCTTAGGTAAAGCTCTTATCTCTTTTTTTATTGCCTCCTTTGTTTGGCGGTTGCGGCTGGTTATTTATAAGGAAAGACCTCCTAGGTCTTTATCTACCTTTGGAATTTCCTTAACTAGCCGTTATTAATTGACCAGACTTAAAAAGGAAAGGCGGCTGGCGGCTGTCTGAATAATTGAGGCTTGCTTACACGTGAAGTAGGTCATCCAGCTGGCGTGTGACATAGGCGGTTTAGCCACACCTACTTTAGACTTCCTCAAATAAATCTTGCCTTGGCGACATAAATCTGCTCCTCACGTTCTCATCTGTTCCGTTGGCCTCTGCACTTTTACATTGTCACGACTGAATTGTTCTTCCTCTGAAGGATTCCTGTATAAAAGCAACCCAAACAACCCTTTCTCTTCAGTAACATCAGTCAAACCAAATAAATCTTGCCTAAGCAAAACTTATCCACCACAATCTAATATAACCTATATACAACTAAATGCAACTAAAAATGCAGTGCATACTTTGTCTAGACGAGCAATAACTTAAGTGAAAAGACTAGGAATTAAGTCTTTTTACAGAGTTATCACACCCCCAAACTTAAGCTATTACTTTTCCTCAAGCAATGGATACTAGCTAGAAGAGAATTAAAATTGTCATGGCAAAGCAGTATTAAGAAAATCATCTGGTTTGAGATTTCAGCCCTCAACAAAAATTGTTTGGCCTCAACATGTTGACAGTCATATCAGTCAAGTCCATTCCCTAGTCAGGATCCCTTGCTATTGTGTGTGCGTGATTGTAACCAATCTATGCATAGAGGTAATTTGAAAACTTAAAGTAAGCACTCCTGGTTTATCAAGACAACAAATTATTCATCAGGATTAGTTTATACTTCTAGTTATTATCAACTTTTATTCTCTTTATTCATTTTTTTAGGTGAATAATTTGTTCACACTCTATGTGAAAGGGAGCATACCTTCCACCCCCAAGTTAGTAGGGCAGAGTCATCATGTGACTACTTTTATTCACTCATATGCCTTGGATACTCTTAATTTGTTTTGGAGTTTTTCTTGTTCATGCCTTTGCATAGAGGAGTGTCCCTTTGTATTTTCAAGTTTTTCATGTTTTTAAACACTAGAGAGTTTCCACTTTACCCTTAGAATATTTTTGCAGTCTCGACAAATAGAAAGTTCTTTCCTAAAAATTTTACATATTATCTAGAGCAAAAACAACCTACAATCGTGTTTATAAATTTCAAGGAATCAAGCCTAGGGTTGGTTCTCTTCTTTAGACAGTCTTAACAATAATTATGGCCTAGGTAATAAAATTCTGCATTCATTATTGGGCATCCCTAATTCATTCCTAACAATAATCTCAACTTGCTTATGTCATGAAAACCAAAATTCTCAACCAATTAACTTCAATTACTTTATATCAAAGTATAGCAGAAAATGGTACAATACCTCCCCCAAACTTGAGGGATGCATTATCCTCAATGCATGAAAACTAAACTATATGATTCTAAATGCATATGCGAAAAAGAAAAAAACTAAAGTAAAGACTCACTATGGTGGGGTGGCTTGACTAGATGCCCTTGTTCGGCGTCGTTTGGGAGGAGAGGGACTCTTGAATCCAGAGTCTACTGCTGCTGGTTGAGAAGGAGACGGCTAAAGTATATGGCCTACGGTTCTCTTGTAACACTTCTTGGTCAATGAGGCTCGTGCTGGAGTGGATTGCTCGATCGTAGGAGTTGGTTGTGTTGGGATTGGTGCTGGACTAGCATCTGCTGCTGGGACTGGCAGTGTTGGATGGACAGGGGACTAAGTAGGATCATGCTCGAGTTACGGCGGTGCTGGAGTAAGATGTTCGTCAGAGAAGAAGTGGGGTAGAGTATCATCATTGCTTTTGGAGGTTGAAAAGGAGGAGGAGCTGAGGAATTCTTCTATGTTGACTTGGCCTTCCTCTGGTACAGGTGGTACTTGAGTTTCTAGTGGTGGGACATCAACGGGTACTTCTGGGGAATGCCTGGAGGTGTATGCGATGTCGAGGCATGGAATGTGCTCCCGCCCACATTGTATTTGAGGATGACGGCGGGGAAGGTCGGTAGCATGATGTTTGAGTTCGGGAGTAACTCCTTGAAGAAGGAGTTGAATTGCATATCCCAAGCCTTGACATACTCGAAGTAAATTTCCATGTGGTCCTCCAGGCGACTGATATTTTCACGTGTTTCTCGAGTGTGTGTGACCACAACAACCATTCTAGTCGCGGTAATGAATTTTGCTCCTCGCTCCAAACTTTCCTTTGGGTCGTCATCATTGAAACTCATCAACTCGGGGACCTTTTCTTTGTGATGCCCTCCTTTGGTTTAAAGTAATCTTCGAAGTGATCCTTAGAAACCTTCTTCTTCTTGCATATGCGATTATCGAGTTGGGAAACAGAAGGTTACCCTGGTTCCTCTTGGCACAGTCATGGATCTGCTACAAAATCAGTTCTCTAACGTTAATCTTCCTCCCGTAAATGATCGAGTCTAGGAGCATCAATCTCTTCACGAGGACAGTGGTGTTGTGAGATGTTGGCATCAGCTTGCCTTTTAGAAAGTGGTTCCACAGTTTCACGTGCGGTTTCAGTGCTCGGCGATTATTAGAATATTAGAATGTTAATAAAGATTAGTTAGTATTTATTATTAGTCTGTTATCAGTTTGTTATGGTTTTTTATCAGCTTGTTATTAGTTTGTTATGGTTTGTTATTAGCTTGTTATTAGTTTGTTATGGTGTGTTGCTTACTTAGACTATATAAGTCATACCTTTGTATGAGGTTGATGCAGAGTTTCATTCAATATTCAATAGAAAGTTTATGTCATATTACTCTCTTTAAATTTCCTCCTTCCACATTTGTTGATTTCATGGCTGCTTTCTCACATGGTATCATTCGCCAAAGATCCTGACGTCATTTTCTCTTCCGCCGTTGCGCCGACGATTGAGTTCTTTTACTCTCACTTTCTTCCTTCTCCAAAACTCTCACCTTATCCTCTTATTTTTCTCCGATCGTTCTCCCTTTCTCGCTTGAAAAGAGAGGTTGATTCGCGTATTCTAAAAGATGTCGCTATTGAGAACTCTAAGTATGTGGATGCAGCTATAGAGATTGTTCTGTTTGAGATTCTGTCTTACATGTCTAAACAAACGGTGGTTGCTAGTTCTTCCTCACGGAGATCGAATCCTCGCGTGCCTCCAAATAGAGCTTTGGATGAGGAAGAAGGCAATCAATTAAAGTAGCAGAGTTATTGTTGGTGAACACAACATGCTCTCCTGCAGATCCATTGTTGGAAGCAAATGAAGTTCTCAGAGACGTTGTTCTTACAGGTACTGCTATCGATGTTGGTTCTATTGAGGCATCAAGTGCAGCGAGTACTTCAAAAATCCATGAGAACAACAATAATGAGCCTGCTGATGTTGAAACCAATGAATTAATTTTGTTGGGGAACACAGAAAAATGTTCTGAAATTGGGAAAGCTGAATCTAGTGTCAGCTTGAGTGCTTTAGGGATTAATAATCTTTTTCCTTATGTGAATCTTGAAATTAAGGGGTCTGGATCTAAAGACCAAACCATAGACGTTGAAGATGGGATTGTGAGGACTCCTCATGCTTCACCAGACACAGCTGATAAGTCTACCTCACTTCTGGAGAATACTGGTAGCATTGGCAGCTATAATGATATTTTAAAGTTATATGGGCCTTTAGATCTGAATGCGGTTTCATGCAGAAACAACTCATTCAATAGAATCTTGATAGGGGAAGAAAATGTTGGGGCTCTTCTTGTTCCATCATCTGCTCAAGAACAAATGGCAGAAGCACTCAGAGCTGGTCTTCATTCTGAAATCAACGATCACTCTACTGGTTCTGAGAAACTAGAAAAAGGTTCTATAGAACTGAAATCCCAGCAGGACCCCATATATGATATGGGCGATATTAAAGATGATACCGTCAATTCTATTGTTAGTGGGTCTAGTCAAACATGCAGAATTGATCTACATGAAGAGGTCATTGAAGATGCTAAAAATAATGAGAAAACCTTGTTTCAGGTCATGCAGTCTCTGATAGTAAAGTTAGCATCGGCACTTCCGATTCAAGTCGAACGGAAGGAAGCATCGGCACTTCCGATTCAAGTCAAATGAAAGGAGGGATCGACACTTCTGATTCAAGTCGAATAGAAGGAAGCATCGGTATTTCCGATTCAAGTTGAACGAAAGGAGGGATCGACACTTCCGATTCAAGTCGAATAGAAGGAGGCATCGACACTTCCGATTCAAGTCGAACGGAATAAGGCATCGGCACTTCCAATTCAAGTCGAATGAAAGGAGGCATCAGCACTTCCGATTCAAATCGAACGGAATAAGGCATCAGCATTTCAGATTCAAATCGAACGGAAGGAGGCATCGGCACTTCCGATTCAAATCAAACGGAAGGAAGCATCGCCACTTCCGATTCAAGTCGAACGAAAAGATGTATCGCACTTCCGTTTCGAGTGTTCGTCTTTTCATCAAGAAGGTTGAAGAAGTCGGGAGAATATTAGAATGTTAATAAAGATTAGTTAGTATTTATTATTAGTTTGTTATCAGTTTGTTATGGTTTTTTATCAGCTTGTTATTAGTTTGTTATGGTTTGTTATTAGCTTGTTATTAGTTTGTTATGGTGTGTTGCTTACTTAGACTATATAAGTCATACCTTTGTATGAGGTTGATGCAGAGTTTCATTCAATATTCAATAGAAAGTTTATGTCATATTACTCTCTTTAAATTTCCTCCTTCCACATTTGTTGATTTCATGGCTGCTTTCTCACAGCGATTAACTCTTTTCCTAGTTGGGGCATTTCCTTCAAACTTGGCCCACCCGAAGAAAAGATCCTGCAATACGCCACTGTATGTTTCTTGATCGGCCTCTGCCACAAATCTCTTGGGTTGCTCTTCAACTTTCCCCAGCTTAAAATATTGGTTGAGTGCATAGGGGGAAAATCATATGAGCTTTCCTCAAACATAAACTGTGTGTCTAGACGGGTCCTCGAGATGGGCATATAATTCCCGTACCATCGTCGGTGCTACAACTTTAGGATTTCGAGCAAACTTCCCCAGTTGTGTTTCTTTATCACGTCCATCACCTCCGGTCTAAATGGCTCCTCTTCCTCGACTAGAAAAACGAATCCATCTTCCAAATATACTTGGCGTTTCTGGAAGGTCTTGAAGCGTGCTTTTGCTTCGGCTGTTTGGAAACGTTCGAAACTTTGTGTTAAGGCTGGGGCTTTCCTTGTTCTCACCATTGTACTTGGCTAACTTTTGTGGTGGCGATGGGGAGGTATTATTGAGAGAAAGAAAATATTTTCTTGTTTGTAGAGAGAGTGGGAAACACGATGAATAAGAAGAGGTTGGGTAGTTTTTCTTAGGAAAGTGATGGGTGGTTTCGAGGTAATTCAGTCTTTTCATGGTGGGGAAAAGATTTCTCATTAAATGAGAAATATTTGATTGGACGTAAAGGGGAAGAAAAGGTTTCTTTCCCTCTTTATTCTGCCGCCAAAACGTGTACCCTAGGTCTTTTTCTTTATGTATGCTTCAACTCCCCATGCTGCCACGTGTTCCTTGTTTGCCTACAATAAGAAAGAAGAAAATAATAAAATAAAATAGATTAAAGTAGAAAATAACTTAACTTATTTATGTACAAAATTTAGATTTTCGATGCCTAGGCAATGAATATTTGCTCAATTAAGTAAAGCAAATTCTTGGGAATCATGTTCCAATGATGCCGGTTTGTCACCCATGACTGGGGCTCCTTTGTACTCCTTGAGTCTGTACTTGTTCACCTTGAAGATGGAACCATCATTTTGGTTTCAAATTTTAATTGCTCCATTGTCATAGACTTGGTGAACGATAAGTGGTCCTGACCATCTTGATTTCAGCTTGCCTGGGAATAACTTAAGACGTGAATTATAGAGCAGTACTTGTTGTCCAAGATAAAATTGCCTCGGAAATATTTTTCTGTCATGCAATCGTTTTGTTTTCTCCTTCTAAAGGCGGGCATTCTCGTATGCATGTTCTCTAAATTCATGCATCTCGTTCAGCTCCAAGAGTCTTCTTTCTCCAGCAAGCTGAGCATCCATGTTTATCTTTTTGATGGCCCGGTAGGCTTTATGTTCAAGTTAAACCAGTAGATGACATTCCTTTCCGTAGACCAGCTTGAACGGGGACATTCCCAGCGGTGTCTTGAATGTTGTACGATAGGCCCATAGTGCTTCATCTAGCTTCGGCGACCAGTCTTTCCGATTCGGGTTGACCATTTTTTCAAGGATCTGCTTAATCTCCCGGTTAGACACTTCAGCTTGTCCATTCGTTTGAGGGTGATACGCCATAGCAATGCTATGTCATACTCCATATCATTTCAGTGCCTTGGAAATCAATCTATTGTCAAAATGTGTGCATTCGTCGCTAATTATAGCTCGTGGTGTTCCAAAGCGGGTGAATATGTTTTTGTGCAAAAACTTTAGCACTGTCTTGGAATTGTTTTTAGGTGTTGCGATGGCTTCCTCCCATTTTGATACATAATCCATTGCCAAGAGAATATACAAATCTCCGAATGACGATGGGAAAGGTCCCATGAAATCTATTTCCCATATGTCGAAAAGTTCGATTTCCAGAATATTTTGCCGTTGTATCTCATTCCATTTCGAGATGTTTCCTATTCGTTAACATCTATCACATGAATTGTAGAATTCATGTGCATCTTTGAACAGGGTTGGCCAATAAAATCCAGACTGAAGCACTTTTGCTGCTGTTTTCATTCCACCAAAATGCCCTCCATATGGTGACGAGTGGCATTGGTGTAGGATATCTTGCTGCTCTTCTTCTGGAATGTATCTTCGAATTATTTGGTCTCCGCATTGCTTGAATAGAAACGGTTCATCCTAGTAGTAATGTCGTACATCATATCGAAACTTCTTTCTGCCCTGGCTAGATAAATCAGGAGGAACAATACCATTAACAAGAAAATTAACAATGTCAGCATACCACGGTGCAACCGTGACAAATAATATTTCTTATCTGGGAAATCCTCTTTAATTTCTGTGATGTCAGGATAATCAGGTTTTGTTATCTAGCCTAGACAAATGTTCTGCCACTTGATTTTCTATACCTTTTCTATCATTGATCTCTAAATCAAATACTTGCAGTAGTAATATCCACCGAATTAGGCTAGGCTTTGCATCTTTTTTATTAATCAGATATTTAATGGCAGAGTGATTTGTGTGCAAAATTACCTTAGTGCCTATTAGATATGGCCTAAACATATCGAATGCAAATACTACTGCTAAGAGTTCCTTTTCAGTGGTGGTATAGTTCACTTGTGAATCATTAAGAGTTCGACTCACATAATATATGTCGTGAAAAATTTTACTTTTTCGTTGCCCTAGAACTGCTCCGGCTGCATAGTCACTATCGTCGTATATGAGCTCAAATGGTTCATTCCAGTCTGGTGGGATAATAATTGGTGATGTCGAAAGTTTTTTCTTCAAATTTGTGAAAGCATTCAAACAATCATTAGTAAATTCATATGGATGATTTTGTTGAAGCAAAAGACATAAGGGTTTAGAAATTTGTGAAAAGTCTTTTATGAACCGCCTGTAGAAGCCTGCATGTCCAAGGAAACTGCGTACACCTCGCACATTAGTAGGTGGTGGAAGATTTAAAATTGCATCCACCTTGGCTTTGTCGACTTCGATGCCATGGCATGAAATTTTGTGACCCAAAACTATTCCTTCAGTTACCATAAAATGGCATTTTTCCCATTTTAGTACTAGGTTGGCTTTTTCACAGCGTTTCAACACGTTGGATAAATTACCGAGATATCGGTAAAATCATCACCTGAGACAGAGAAGTCGTCCATAAATATTTCCATGCAATCTTCCACCATATCCGAAAAGATTACCATCATGCATCTTTGGAATGTAGCTGGAGTGTTACATAGTCCAAACGGGAATCGCATAAATGCATATGTACCATATGGGCAAGTGAAAGTTGTTTTTTCTTGGTCCTCCAGTTCTATGGCAATATGGTTATACCCGAAGTATCCATCGAGGAAGTAGTAAAATGCTTTTCCCGCTAGTCTATCCAACATTTGGTCGATAAAAGGGAGGGGAAAATGATCATTCTTTGTGGCATTGTTGAGCTTCCTGTAATCCATGCATATGAACCATCCCGATACTGTTCTTGTGGTGAGTAGCTCGTCATGCTCGCTTTTAACCACGGTCACACCACCTTTCTTTGGTATGCATTGTATTGGGCTGACCCATGAACTATCGGATATAGGATAGATTACTCCCACATCCAGCCATTTAATGATTTCCTTCATGACTACCTTCTTCATGATCGGGTTGAGTCGTCTTTGGGTTTCCACCGAAGTGCTATGGCTATCTTCAAGGTTGAATTTTTGCATGTGACAAGACATTCAACAAACTATTCTCCTGTTCGGAGGTTAGGTTGGCAGAAATTATCACTAGTAGGGTTTCATCAACTCCTAGATAAGCATATTTCAAATGTGATGGCAAAGTTTTAAGTTCCAACTTCGGTGCATGTTGTGAAGATGACTCATGAGATTTAACTTCATCATAATCTAAGGGTTCAAATTTCATACCTGATCTGTTATGAAGAAGGCTTGAATGGTCTATTGTCTTTCCTCTGCCTCTTGCATTGATATTGTTTTCAGGGTGTTCATTGCTCTGATTTATATGGTCGAGGCCATGATTTTCAGGATCATCTTCTAAAAATAGTTCATCTGGGCCAAAGTTTTCTGTTTCATGTATCTCAGTTGTAGGTTCATGGTACAATATACTGTATTCATCGAGCCTTGGGGCTTCCCCTTGTCCAAGGATAGCCTTTTCTTCAATCTTGTTAATGCATTGGCATTCCTCTGAATTGTCCATGCATTTCATGGATTTGAATACATTGATAGTGACGCTTTTCTCGCCTACTCTTATAGTGAATTCTCCCTTTTCATAATCTATAAGGATTCTCCCGGTGGCTAAGAAGGGGCATCCAAAAATGATTGGTGCGTTTTCATCTGCTTCGCAATCCAGGATGAGAAAATCTACTGAAAATACGAATTTATCCACTTTTACTATGACATCTTCTATTCTGCCGTCGGGTCGCACATAAGACTGATCAGCCAACTGTAGGATGACCGAGGTGGGATGGGCGTGATACCCGTCTAGCTTCATAAATATGGACTTTGGTATCAAGTTTACACTTGATCACAAATCAATAAGAGCTCGTCCTATGAAGTCATTACCAATGGAACATGGTATTATAAAACTGCCAAGGTATTTTTGTTTTGTTGGGAGTTTGCTTACTGCTTAACAGATTTCTATTGCCATGGCGACACGTTCTACCTTTCTTTTCTTTGTAACAATTTCCTTAAGATACTTCGCATAAGAAGGCATTTGCTCGATGGCTTCAAGTAAGGGCACATTAATACACAATTGATACAGGACATCAACAAATTTCTTGAACTGGATTTCGTCATCATGCTTCTTCAACCGTTGAGGGAATGGTGGTGGAGGTCTCACATCGACTGCTGATGGTGCTGAGTAATCGCTAGCCTTGACCATGAATTTTTTATTATCCGGTTGATGCTCTCCGGAGCCTTCACTTCTTTCCTTCTCTTTAGGCACTTCCTCTCA